GTCAAGTCGCTCAAGGACCGCATCCCCGAGCCGCTCCGTCAACCGCCTCCTGACGCCCGCCCAGGCCCAGAAGCTGCGCGCCGCCGAGGCCAGGCAAAAGGCCAAGGCAGAGGCCCAGGCAAAGGCGCTGGCGCTGGCAGGAGGCAAAAAGGCGAAAGCCGGAGGCAAGGCGGCGACACCGGGAGGGGCGGCCAACCTCCAGTCGAGGATCAGCGTGCCCCTGGCCCAGAGGCTGGCCAAGCAGGCAGGCACGCCCAAGTCGGACCTGTGAGTGTGGGCGGAGGAAATCGCTGCCGTGTCGGCCAAGGTTGCTGCTTTGTCCTTTTCTTGCGCTTGCGCTGACGAGATCGTGTTTGGGCTCTCCTTCGCATCCTGTTTCTCCCCTCACGCCATCGACGCCAACCCTTCGCAGCGCCGCGCAAAGGGAGGCGGACAAGAAGAAAAAGAAGAGGGCGGTGGCCAAGGCCAAGAAGAAGTCGGCCGCCGGGGGCGCGGCCAGTGCCGGCATGGAGATTGACGCCTGAGCGAGGCGATGCAGAGCAGGGCAGTGCAGAGCAGACTGGCCTGCGTCCGCCCAGCTCGGTGTGCTACCCACGGCCGGCGGCGCACGAGAACAAGACGATGACACTACAAGAGACCTCGACGAGGCCGGCGGCGGCGGCGGTGGATGCCGGTTTAGATTTGTCCAAGAAGGTGCTGTGCTGGGCCGAAGCCGAAGCGGCAATACTAGTTTATCACAGGGCCGTTTGTCTATGCTCCTTATCCCTGCCGGAGGTCGATCGTAATGGTTCGTTGTTCGGCTTGAGGGCGGGCGTTTGGCGACGAGGGGAAGGAAAGGAAAGGGAGGGGAAGGGGAAGAGGGGGGGCCTCGTCACTCGCCTCGTACCGCCCTATCCTCGAGGGTCTTCCACTGCGCGACGAACGAGTCGTAGATGGCTGTCCGGTCAGGGCGCGGGTGTGCGACGACCTGTACGCCGCCCTGCGTCTCCTCGTCGTCGTTGTTCTCATCGTGTTGAGAGGGGGACGAGGAGGAGGAGGAGGACGAGGGGGAAGACGATGAACGGGATTTGATCGACTTGATGAACGCGTCAAACTCCTGCGGAACCGCCCCCGCCCCCGCCCCGGCAGTGGTAGAAGAAGAGGAGGCGACTTGGGAACGGTGCCATCCCCAAATGGCCTTGTAGGCCGCACCGACCGAACAGAAGTTGTAGTGCGCTGCCGTCCACCTCTTTGCCCCTGGCGCCTGATCGACGACGGCGACGGGCTGGACGGGCTTGACGACGTCGCTGCCAAACACGTCCGAGAGGACTTGACAGATGACCGGGTTCGAAGATGCCCCGCCTACCGCGTAGAGCCTCTTGATTCCGCCCGAGGTTGGGGTCGAGCGAGGCGAGGCAGAGGAAGAGGAGGGCGACGAGACGATCGACAAAGAGCGGTGACGGTAATTGAGGAACTGGGTTTCCAGGATCGCCGAGGCGTTGCACGACGCCTTTGAAAACGAGGGCACGCGCGTGAATTCGCCCGCCGACGACGACGTGGGGCGTGCATAGCGGTGTACTCCGCTCGCTCCGTCCGGCTGGCGACGGCGAGGGCAAAGGAGGTGACAAGACCATGGCGTCAGTACTGGATGTCGGAGTCGCTCCCCCCGTGCCATGCCGCTCGGACCCGCCGCGCCGACTCACGATAATCTCTGGGCGGAGCCAGTAGAAGCCGACCCTCTGCTCTTTCCCCTCGCCCTCCTCGAGCCTGGTCGACTCGACATCGGCATTGAAGCGGTCCCAGCTCGACTCGCAAAACTCGTCGCGCACCCACTCGCGCGCCAGCGATCCGCTCTTGTAGACGAGCATGTTGAAGTAGGAAGAAGAAGAAGACCCGCCGCCGGACGACGACAACGACGACGACGAGGCAGTCTTGGCTGGATGGACAAAGGCGTGGAACTCGGGGTGGGGCACGTACTGGGCCGTCGAGACCATGACCGTGTCCGAGGTGCCGAGCGAGACGATGGCCTCGCCCTCGGCCAGGCTAAAGGCGAGAAACGTGGCCGGGTTGTCGCCCGTCCCCGGGAAGACATCGCAGTCCGGATGGAAGCCATACCGCTCCACCCACCACTGCCCCACCTTGCCCACCGCTCGACCCGTGTCGCGCGCCACGACGCCCAGCTTGCGTTCGAGCTCGGCGGCGCCGCCCAGGTCGTCGGCTTCGCCGGCGTCGCCTCGCTCGCTCTCGCCGCTGACGAGACGGAGGAGCTCCCAATTCCAGCCGGGCTCGAGGCTGCCCTTTGTCTCGGAGGTGTGCTCCGAGTCGGGCCGCATGTCCCACAGGTTCATGCCGCAAGCGTCGCTCTCGTCGATGGGCTTGACGGGGTCGTCGTCGCTGGCATCGGCGTCGCGGTTGCCTCGGCCGGCGCAGAGAAGGGTGGTGACAAACGACGAGACGAGTGCAATGCGGTGGGTGTCTTTGTACTGATGCGGGTGCGACTGGCGCCAGGCGTGGATCTGGGGGCCCGTGAAGCGGGTGTGGGCGCGGGAGCCCGTGACGCGGGCCAGGCCGCGTGCGCCGTCCGGGTAGAGGTGCTCAAAGGCGGCGCAGGATGCCGCCGTGGAGCTGTCCTGCCAGTTGGGGACGACGTCGCGCGAAAAGGCCGAGGGCAGCTGGTCGGCCAGGGTGGCGGCGGGCGAGAGGGAAGCGAGGAGCGAGGGAGCCTGGCGCGAAAAGTAGACCGAGGCGTGTTGCTGTTGTGCGGGGGAGGAGGGAGGTGGAAGAGGGGATGGAGAGGACAGGGTGAGAAGGCGATAGACGAGTGCCGAAAAGAGGGGTTGAGAGAGGACAACGAGGTGAGAGAGGACAACGAGGTGAGAGAGGACAACGAGATGAGAGAGGACAACAAGAGCAGAGAAGCGGGATCAGTCGATGTTGGCCGGGACGCGAGGGCCGAGGGAGGCGCTGCGACCTACCTGACCTGCTGCGCTGATGCCCCGGATGCGGTCGACAGCCCATTGCTTCTGCTTGATCTTGTCTGCCATGCGGTCGAGCGCCTCGACGTAGAGCAGGACGGGGGCCACGACGGTGCCCGGGGGGTCGCCCGGCTGAGGAGCGAGCACGCCGCCCTTTGTTGCATGGTGCGGGAGGTCGCGGTCGAAGCGGACCTCGAGCTCGTCGAGTACGGCGAGCGAGTTGTCGAGGAGGGAAGCCTTGAGGGCCTGGGTCGAGAGGTCGAGGCCGAGAAAGAGGGGCGACGCGGTGGTGGAAGCGGGTGGTGGCGGCGGCATGGTGAGGGTATCTGGGGCCAGGGTTGTGGTTCGAGGGCGGCAAGGTGGGGTGTCGACGGGGTGGCCTTGGTTGGAGGGAGGGGGTTTATATCGAGACGGGCCAGAGGACTAACTGAGCGAGAGGGGGAGCGAACAAGGCAGCCAACCAGCCAGCCAGCTGGAAGATTGGCCAGGGATGACGGACAGGGCCACGAGGAAGGAAGGGGTCCCCGGTCACCGCTGCGCGCGGTTGTCAAAGATGGCCGAAGCGTCGAGGGATGTGGGGCCAGGCTAGGCCGTGCCTCAGGCCCGCCAGCCAAAGGCGTCGAGAGATTGCCGGGTAGCCAGCAAAGATGGCCACCGTCGTCCAATCTCGGGAGTCGGAGAGGGCGGCCGAGGGGGGCCATCGCTTTCAAGCTCGCGGCGTGGCCCGGCTGCTCTCTGGCTTCACCCAAGGCAGAGGAAGCATTGGATTGGCATCCGAGTCGGTGTCTGGCAGCACAGCATCGACGCTGTTGCAACTGCCATCCGGTGCTCTGAGCATCGTCGTTCGTCGCCCTGCTCGCCGCTAGCAAGAGCGACGCTGATGGGTCCGTGCGGCGACCGACACCATAGAGCGGCCCGCGCTTGATGCAATTTCGCCTGGAATTTTTTTCTTCTTGACTGGCCGGGCTGCAGCTGGCACCTCTCGCTGCTGGAATTTTGAGCTCGACGGCCCCGTCGTGCCACCACCACCACCACCACCACCATCCCATCTCCACCGCACCGACGCCATGGCATCGGCAACACCATCCTCCAGCAGCCGCGCGGGCGGTGCCGTGCGGCCCGCCGACGACGACTCGGCTTCCTACCACAGCGACTCGTCGTTCGACTCGCACGACGACCAGGACTGGGCAGACTGGGTCGAGGACCAGCCCCCCGCACTCGCCCTCTTCCCCGACCAGGACGGCTCCTACCCCACCCTCCCCTCGGCCCTCGCCGCCATCCAGGACGGCGCACAAAAGGGCTGCGACGTGCGCAACGTCGTACGCACCCTCGACCTCGACACCCTTGGCGCCATCCGCCTCGTCAACCGCATCCGCAGGCTCAAACTCGCCCCCTCCGACGTCAACGCACTTACGGGAAACGAGGACTGGTGGCAGGGCGAGCAGGAGCTCAAGCCCGTAGACGGCGGCGACGAGGACCCGCTCCTCCAGTTCGACTTTGACGGCGAGCAGTTCGGCGATGACGGCCACGGCCACCTCGACCGCGCTTCGACGGCTGCGGCACCCACGGCCGCTGCCGCCGGCGGGGCTGCATCCGAGCAAATCGAGCAGCTCCAGCACGAGCTCGAAGCCACCAGGGCCACGCTGCGCGAGGTCCAGTCGCGCCTACTCGCCACCATGGGCGTGTCCTCGTCTTCGCTCGACTCGGACCGCCGCGGGCCCGTGGCCGGGCTCAAGCCCACCGCCAAGCTGGCCAAGCTGACTCCGGGCGGCAAAGAGGGGCGCGACGACGACTCCCACTACTTTGACTCGTACGCCAGCAACGACATCCACCAGACCATGATCTCGGACCGCGCCCGCACCCTCTCGTACGCCCGCTTCCTCCTCTCGCCCGCCAACTCGCACCTCATCCGCGGCAAGACGGTCATGGACGTCGGCTGCGGCTCGGGCATCCTCTCGCTCTTTTGCGCCCGCGCCGGAGCCAAGCGCGTCGTGGCCATCGACGCCTCCAACGTCGCCAAGCGCGCCCGCGCCAACGTCGAGGAAAACGGCTTCGGCCACGTCGTCACCGTCGTCCAGGGCAAGGTCGAGGACCTCGACGACGAGCTGGCCCAGTACGCCGCCGGCGTCGACCTGCTCGTGTCCGAGTGGATGGGCTACTTTTTGCTCTACGAGTGCATGCTCCCCTCGGTCCTCTACGCCCGCGACCGCTACCTGGCGCCCACGGGCATCCTCGCCCCGAGCCACTGCCGCATGACGCTCGCCGCCGTGTCGGACCAGGAGCTGCTCCACGAGCGCATCCACTTTTGGAACGACGTGCACGGATTCAGGATGTCGGAGATGCAAAAGGGCCTCTACGACGAGGCGTACACCGAGGAGCTCAAAAACGACGCCGTCGTCTCGGACGTGTGCGACATCTACGTGAGTCGAGGCGCGCTGCCGCGCCGCCTGGCCTGATCGAACCCCCCCGGCGTCGTCGTCGTCGTCCACGGCTCTTGCTGACCCTCCCCATCTCTTGCTGACCCTCTCCGTATCTTGCTGCCCTCCATGTTCCCCCCACCCCCTCCTACCAGGATCTACCGCTGCAAGTGCTGAGCTACCGCCAACCGACCTTCACGTCGCCGTTTACGCTGACGATCAAGGAGGAGGAGACGACGATCCACGCGCTGGCATCGTGGTTCGACACGTGGTTCACGCCCGATTCCAAGCCGTGGCCGCGTTCCGCCCAGACGGGGGAGGAGGAGAAGCGGGATACGGTGGGTGGCGAACGGCTGCAGGGTCTGGGTGCCTGCACCGTCGAGGCACCGACCGAATCGGACGTATACGGTCTCGACCTGCAGGGTTCCGCCGTTACCGCACCACCACCACCACCACCGGAGCAGGAGGGAGCCAAGGGGGAGGTGGTCAGTTTCACCACGGGCCCCCACGGCCTCATGACGCACTGGAAGCAGACAGTCTTCCTGCTCAAACAACCCATCCAGGCCTCGAGGGGCGATACCATCACCGGGTCCATCCAGGTCATCCAGTCCGCCGACAACTCGCGCGAACTCGAAGTCGAACTCCACTACGAGGTGCGTCCCGCCTCCCTCGGCCCCGTTCGAACCAAGGGTGAGGGCGTGGGCACCCGCCTCGTCCAGCTCTACAAGGTCCGCTAGGTCCATCCCTGAACCCTCCATATCGATCGCTGAGAGGCAGTGGTCGGGTCTTGTTCCTAGTCGTCTCCTTTTTGTCCACCGAGGGACGAAGGGAGGTTCTTTCTTTTTGTACATACATGGAGCACGCCATGGAATGGCGATCAGCAGATCAAAGCAGAGCGGATGAGAGCAGAGCAGAAAAGAAAGACGAGGAGCCGGCCGACACGACCCGACGGCCGCTGCCTCTTGTCCTATCCGGCCCCCGACTGCCAACCTCTTGCCGCCGCCTTGCCTAGGCGACGACGACGGCGGCGACGACGCTGAGCAGCATGGCGTCGACCTCGGGATGCTCCTGGGCCAGGTAGGCGTCCATCTTTTCAAAGTTGTCCATGGCGTAGCGGCCCTTTGCCTCGTGGCGGTGCTGCGGGAACATGCCGTCGACGACGAGGCCGCTCATGTCGATCCAGAGCCGGCTCGGGTCGCGCAGGTCGGATCGCGTCGCGTCGACCGCACCGCCGCCGACGCCGGGGTCCGTGGTGACGAGCTGGCCAAAGTCTTGGCCCGTCTTGCGGGCGCGGGCGGCGGCGAGGCCGTCGGCGTCGAGGCGGAGCACCAGGTCGACGCTCCACTTTGACTGGCCGTGGCGCCCCACCTGCTTGATGTGGTGTCGCCGGTGGCCGCTCGGCGGCGTAGAGGGCAGGTTCCACTCGACGACGTCGCCGTCAAAGGCAATGACGGGCCAGATCATGCCCGGGTGCTGGATCTCGAGCGTCACGCTGCGCGTCGCCCGGTCAAAGTCGACGACCTCGTCGACGGCGCGCAGCGTAAAATGCTGCGAGGCCGGGGCGGGCGCGGCGTAGGGCGTGACCGAACCGCCGCCGTCGGCCGCCGGCGCGGGCCCGGGCAGCTGGAACTTGTACGGCGTCAGGAAGTCGCTGACCGGGTAGAGGATGTCGAAGTCGGTGTTTTGCGCGTTCATCTCGTGCAGCACCGCCGACTCGCCCGGCCGGCCCAGGACGCGCTGCACGTCGTTGGACAGCTGCTCGAAGCCGGGCGCCGGGTCGGCCGCGCCCAGGTTCATGAACCACTCGCCGCTGGTGATGTTCTGCACCTGGTGCACAAACAGGCGCTTGGGGTGGAGCGCGTCAAACGGCTGGCGCGCCGCAAACACGGCCACCATGACGGCCGTCAGCGAGACGAGCGCCAGGATGGCCCGGCCGAGCGTCGCCGTCGTGTAGCGGTGCGACAGCGGCACGAGGGCGGGCAGCGAGAGGAAGCTGAGCGCCGCCACAATCGTCGCGATGATGTTGTCCGCCGGCGACACCTCGCCCATGCGGCCCGTCAGCGGCACAAACAGGTCGAGGAACGACGCCATGCCCTCGAAGCCCACCGACGAGGGCACCAGGACCAGCGCGACGTACGTCCACGGCGACACGCGCATGTCGGGCGCCACCTGGCGCATCTCGATGTTGCCGAAGCCGACGAGGACAAAGTCGTTGATGGTGGTGCTGAGCAGCAGGGTGCCCGCCGCGAGGATCATGAGGTACGCCGAGCCGATGGAAAAGGCGTTGAGGCCGAGGAGCACCAGCACAAAGACGATCTGCATGCCCGTCATCGTGGCGCGCTCAAAGTAGGGGCGCTGGTGGGGCTTGACGAGGTGCGACATGGCGTACTGCACCGCCAGCACCGAGGCCAGCGCCGGAGGGCCGTAGAGGGCGACGGCGGCCCACTCGTGCGAGAACCACGACATGCCGCGGCCGAGGACGTGGACCATGAGCAGGGCGACGGCGTTGGCGCCGACGACGGCGGCCAGCAGGCTGACGACGGTGCCGAGGACCGAGAGCATGGTGAGGTTGAGGGCGTTGAGGTGGCTCTCTGCGCGCGTCACGGCCGACATCTGGAAGTTGACAATGGCCGAGATGCCCATGACGATCGACTTGAACGCCTTGGAGCTGATGAGGAAGAACTTGCGGCCGGCCAGGGTGAAGTAGATGGGCAGCGAGGCGCGCGACTGGCGAGGCTGGATGCTGGCCAGCTTGGCGGAGGCGTTCGGGTCGAGGCAGAGGTGCTCGAGGATGGCCAGCACGTTTTCGCCAAAGTGCTGGGTGGCGCCCGGCTCGAGGTGGGCGGGGACGTCCTTGCGGGTGTGGTAGAGGTACGACGAGCCGACGAGGGCCATGTCGAGGCCGGTGAGGTGGTTGCCGTACTCGACAAACTGGCGGAAGTCGGTGTCGCTGAGGATGAGGCCGGTGGAAAAGACGTCGTTGGCGAGGACGGTGCCAAAGGGGTGGGGCACCTTGGAGTAGGCCTCGATCATCTCGGTGCTCGTGGCCTGGAAGAGGAGCTCGGGCCCGCTGGTGCCGCACGCCTCGAGGTTGACGACGGCGCGGACCGTGTCCTTTGTGGGGTGGTGCTGGGTGATGTAGAGGTGCGAAGCGTCCTGGAGCGACTCTTCGCCGTTGTTGAAGAGGAGGACGACGCTGTTGTGCAGCCTGCGGCCCGTGTTGGGCAGGGTGAGGGCGCGGAGGGCCTCGAGGAGGATCGAGACGCCGATGCCGTCGTCTGCGCCGCCGGGCGAGGGGAGGGTCGAGTCGAGGTGGGCGTTGAGGAGGAGGGCATTTGCCTTGCCCTCGTTGGTGCCGTCCGAGAGGCGGACGACGAGGTTGGACATGGAATAGTACTTTTTCCACACGGTGCTGCCCATGAAGTCGAAGCGGTGGGCGCCGTCGCCGAGCTGCTTCCACACCTCGACCTGGGTGCGGGTGCCGGTGCCGGCGAGGCCCGTGTCGTGCCAGCCCTCGTAGCGGCGGAGGATCTCTTCGAGCCAGTCCTCTGCCTCGACGTGCTGCTTTGTGCCCACGATGCGGTAGCCGATGCCGACCGAGAGGTGGTGCATGACCGAGACGGCGTTGGCCTCGCTGAAGTGGGAGCTGAGCGCCACCGGATCCCCGCCGCGGGCGCTGGCGCTCCTCTGATCGAGGGCGGCCACGGGCGACCTGGGATCGTAGGCGGTGGCGAGCTCCGGATCGAGGCCGGCAGCGATGATGGCCGTCGAGGGTTTGGGGGCGGGCAGGCGGTAGTGCAGGTAGAGGGTCGTCGAGGCCAGCAGCGCGACGAGGGCGGCGAGCAGCAGCGCAAACAGCGGCGACTTTGGCGTACGGCGGTAGTTGACCGGGTCCACCTCGCTAGCCTCTCGATCGGCAATGATCCGCGCCGCCGCTTCGGCAGCAGCGGCAGAGCCGTCGGCCCTGGTTCCGGCAGAGGTGGCCGTAGCGGCCGTGGTCGCGGTCGCGGTCGCGGTCGGAGGTGCTCCGGCGGGCGTCGTGCTGGGCTTGGGGCCGGCCTTGGCTGGCCTCGCCTTCTTTGGCGGCATCTCCGAGGCGCGCGGCTGAGCTCGACCGGGGCGGCTGGACGGAACGGGGCGGGGGCGTGGCAGGAGACGGAGGCCGGGAGGCCTGGAGGACGAGGACGAGGACGAGGACGAGGACGAGGTCGAGGGGCGGTGCTGCGACACTTGAAGTGCTCTCTAGCTCTACTGCTCTCTACCACGGCACGGCACTCTGTAGGCGGACGACGGGATCGAGGTTAGAGATGGTCGAGGTGATGGGCGCAGGAAGCAACCCGGCCAGCCGCAGCGGCGCAGAGGACAGCAAGCTGGAAGAAGACAGGTAGGCAGGCAGGCTTGCCCTCTGTCTGCAGGCCACGCCGTCGATCTGTGTGCACTTTGCCGAATGCCGGCCGGCGTCTTGGTTGCCCTCGCCTCACCCGCGGTCCACGGCTGCTGGGTCTCGTGCGGCTGAGCCTGGCTTTCAGCTGGCTGCACCTTGCTTGGCCTCCTCCACATGCCGTCCCCCCTCTCTGCCCGCTCGCCTGCTGCTGGCCCGTTCCCCCTCCTTGAGCTTTGCCCATGGACCCTAGCTCGTGACTGCCAGCCCCGCTCGCTCGTTGCCCGGACCGCCGCCCGTCATCACCACCACCACCTCGACCATCCACCCTGAGCGTCCAAGCGGGCGTCCAGCATCGACCCTCGTGCTTCTGTCCATCATCTCCTGCCGCCAAATACGACGCCACGCGTGGCACCACTGCGCTTGTGTGCTCGAGCACGCGGTCGACTCCGAGTGACACAAGCGTCTCGCCTGCTCGACGCCGAGGCGCAATCGGACCGACCTGCTCGTCTCGGCCAGCTCCGACGCTACTGTCGCCGGCAGAGGCCGTAGACCCCTTTGGTTCCGGATCGCACCCGCCTGTCTGGCGCATTCATCGATATCAAGGAGGGCCCGACGACTCGAGACAGCGTGACTGCCCCTGCCGCCGCAACCGCTAGGGCATCGCTGCCAAGATGGACCCCTTCGGTGATCCCGACCAAGACCACAGCAATGTCACCACTGCTGCTGCTGTGGGTCCCGAGGCAGCCATCGACGGGTCGCCAACGCATCACAAGGTTGACTCGCCCTTCGTCGAAGAGGAGGGACACGACCAGGCACCCGCCGCAGCCACGCCACCTTCGGCAGTGGCGCAGGACAGCCTCGATCCACTCACCGCCTCCGCCCTCGCCTCCGCCAGCGCCCCTCACGCCCGCTATCGCGATGGCTTTGACGAGCCCCCCGCATCAGTGATGCTCGACATCGACGGAGGCACGGGCACCCCTCGTGCCAGCGCAGGCGCAACCAGGCGTTCCGAAACATCAGCCCCGTCGTCTCGAGGTGGGCGCTTCAAAGCCTCGATCTTTGAGCAGTCCCGCATCCCAGACGAGCCGCAAGCGGAACATGCGTCGTCGCACCGCGATAGGAGAGGAAGCACAGCCGACGACGACGATGACGACATCGACGACCCCGACGGCCTCTACTCGGACGAGGAGGCCGCCCTCATGGCCAGAGAGGAGCGCAGGCGCGGCTACCCGCAGTCATCCTCGTCTGGACGGCGAAGTAAGGGCAGATCTCGCCGCCAGCGGGCCGACGGCACCACCTACGAAGACGGCAGCGCCTCTAGCTCGAGGCATCGAGGTTCCTCCTCCAGCCGCTCCGGGCGCAGCGAGAGGAGCAAAAAGGCCCGAGGCTGGCGCTGGACATCAGCCCTGCCTTCCACGGCACCCCAGAGCCGCCGCACGGCGCTGCGAGGGCTCGACCCGAAGCAAAAGGCGCTCTGGATGTGGGCCAACGTCGACAACATGGACGCCTTCCTGCAGGAGGTCTACTCGTACTACGTGGGAAAGGGCGCCGTCTGCATCGCCCTCTCTCGCGCCCTCAACCTTCTGTGAGTATGCACGGGTCAACCGGTCAGACAAGCTGTCCGTTCCGGCTGCGGAGCGATGAAGCTGTTCGCTGACCTCGACGCCCCTGTTCTCTGCCACTACCTCCTGTTGATCCGCTTGCATGCGCATGCGCTTCCGCCAGGACGATCGCCTTCGTCATCGGCTTCTCGACCTTCCTGCTGGGCTGCGTCGACTACTCGAGCATCCGCCACGACGGACGTCTCTCCGAGGTCATCGTCGACCACTGCGTGTCGCGCTTCTCGAACCTCGCGCTGGTGCTCCTGGTCAGCTTCGTCGCCTTTTTCGGCTGGCAGGTGCTCCAGTTTGGCTTTGGCCTCTCGCGCCTCGCCGCTATGCACCGCTTCTACACCCACCTCCTCAACATACCGGATGTGAGTGTGCAGTCAGCCCGCCGCCGAGCGTCGCAGTGCAGCAAAGCCCGCGGTGACTGACGTGCAAACCCCTCCCTCGCACCGGTCTGCCCTCTTTTTCCTGCAGGCCGACGTCCAGTCGATTCCGTGGAACGAGGTCGTGAACCGCATCGCCACGCTGCGCGAGGAGCATCCGATCACCTCGCTCAGCTCGCAGGCCGAGGGTAACGCCGACGACGGCGCGGGCCGACCCAGCGAGAAGCTCGATGCGCACGACGTCGCCAATCGCATCATGCGCCAGGAAAACTACCTCATAGCTCTGTTCAACAAGGACACGCTCGACCTCTCGATCCCCGGGCTGCGCCACCGAAGCCCCGCCCTGACCCGCAGCCTCGAGTGGAATCTCAACTTCTGCCTGCTCGGCTTCCTCTTCGACTCGCGAGGCCAGGTCAGGCGCCAGTTTCTCACCGACCGCCACCGCGGCCAGCTGATTGAAGGGTGAGTGCCGGCCCCAGCCCAGCATGCCGTCTCGGTACGGAACAATTGCCGGGCGTTGCCCGTTGAGCGCCGTCGAACGGACCCATGCCGAGTGCCGGAGCGCCTCTCTTATGCCCCGTCCACCCCGCGTTTGATCTCAACCCGCGTATGCGACCGACGGAACAGGCTGCGCCGGCGCTTCGTCTTCATGGCCATCGTCAACGCCGTCTTTGCACCATTCATCGTCCTGTATCTGCTCCTCTACTCGTTCTTCCGCTACTTTGAGGTGGGTACGGCGGCCTTGGACTGGCACGCAACGCCACCTCTGCCAGGCTGACAGGGCGATCCCGCTGACGTCCTCGGACTCTTGCCTGCTGCCGGAATGCCAGGAGTACCACAAGGATCCCTCGAACCTCGGCTCCCGGCAGTACACCCAGTACGCCCGGTGGAAGTTCCGCGAGTACAACGAGCTGCCGCACCTCTTCCGGCGCCGCTGCCACAGCTCGTACCCGTACGCCCAGCGCTACATCGACCAGTTCCCCAAGGAAAAGACGGCCGTGGTGGCGCGCTTTGTCGCCTTCATCGCCGGCTCCTTCACGGCGGTGCTGCTGCTCGCCTCGGTCATCGACCCGGACCTCTTTCTCCACTTCGACATCACGCCGCAGCGCAACGTCCTCTTCTACGTTGGCGTCTTTGGCGCCGTGCTGGCGTTTGCGCGCGGCATGATCCCCGACGAGCACCTCGTCTTTGAGCCCGAGGTGCTGCTGCGCGCTGTCATCCACCACACCCACTACATGGCCGAGGGCTGGAAGGGCCGCTTCCACTCGGCCGACGTCCACGCCGAGTTCGGGCGCCTTTACACGCTCAAGATCTACATCTTCTTCCAGGAGCTGCTCTCGGTCATCACGACGCCGTTTGTCCTCTGGCTGTCGCTGCCCAGGAGCGCCCCCGCCATCATCGACTTTTTCCGCGAGTTCACCGTTCACGTCGACGGCGTCGGCTACGTCTGCTCGTTTGCCGTCTTCAGCTTCCGCCGCGATGGCGTCGCCGCCGACGAGGCGACGAGCGGCGGTGGCGGTGGTGTTGGCGGTGGCGGCGGGCGTGCCGGCGTGCCCGAGTCGAGGCGGGCCAAGATGGAGCAGTCGATGCTCGGGTTCAAGGCCAACCACCCGGACTGGGAGCCCACGGACCCCGCCAGCTCCCTCTTTTTGTCGCGGATGGCGGCCATGGGCTCGGACGGCGGCGCTCTGCCCGCGGGACACTGGCTCGGCGACGACGGCCGTCCGGCTCGCGAAGGGCGGTACACGGATCGGGGGCGTGGAGCTGCAGCGGGAGCCGGCGGCGGCGGCGGCGGCGGCGGTGGGTTCGAAGGGCTGCGAGGTGCAAGTCGCGCTGCGGCCGACGCCGCCGAGGTGGGCGGCAAGCCGTTCACGCCAATCAACTCGACGCTGCTGGCGACGCGTTCGCAGTTCTACGAGGACGCCTTTACTCGGTCGATTGCGCTGGCGCGCGACAAGGACAATGCGGCTGCGCTGGCGGCGAGCGCTCACAACCAGGGACGGTCTGCCGGCAGCAACAAGCACCCGCCGCGATCGAGGTCCAAGGGGCGTGGGCGCGCCCACAACGACAGCACCTACTCGTCGCGGATCGTCGAGGTGGACGAGGAGGACGACGGCGACGATGACGCCGGGGTGGGTCGCTCACGAGCCAACAACGGCAGGGCCGGCCTCGAGGCCCACGGAAGCTTTGAAGGCGTCGACCCCGTTCGGGGCGGCGGCGGCGGCGGCAGAGGGATGGACCAGAGCCACTTTGATGCCACGTCGGCGGGCCAGACGGGAGTGCGCGACCTTCTGCACCACATCTCGACGGGAAGGGGCACGCCAGGCGGTGCGCGGTGGTAGTAGGCGCGCTCGGCTTGGCACCAGCTCGTGCCTGTTGCTACTCCTCGGATCCTACCTTCTGCATCTAAATCTGCTCCTGCCCGCGCATCCGTGTGCCAGCCTGGTCTCGACGCCGTTGAAATCAAGGTTCGTCGAATGCGAAGATGAAGAGATGAAGAGGTGAAGAGGATGTCGAGGGTGATCTGTTGGCCGGCGCTCGCCCCTAGGTCGATCGGGCTGCGCCGCCAGGGAGGAGCGCGGCCGGCTGGAGCTCAGCGCCTGCGCTCGCCTGCGCTGGCCTGGCCTGATCTGGCAGGCAGGCGGGCAGGCTGGCGCGCGCTGCATCCGATCGCCCGAAATCGGCGGTGCGTGAGAGAGGGTGAAAAATCGACTGACCCTTTGCCGGCCGATCCAGCAAGGGCTCAGCCTGGCCTGGCCCTGGCCTCGCCGAGCGCAGCGGCCTCGCGCCCGTGCCGAGCCACCCTCAGCCAGGCTGGCCAGCCTCCACGCCCCACGCTGCGTGCGAGGACGAGGGCACGTCGAGGCCTTGCCTGCCTCGCCCCCCCGCGACGGCGGCGAGCGAGATCCGTCTTCGCGTCGTCGGCCGTCGGCCTCGGGGCGGGGGCGGAGGGCGGACGGGCGGAGGGCGGAGGCGGTCCGGTCCGG